CCTTTGGTCTATCATGACGATTAAATGCCGACCCAACAAGTATGAATGCCACTTATGAATAGCTAACACAATGTTCATCAATTCTCTCTCATATTTCGACTTCAACCTAGCTCTGGTTGTCAACACCTGGCTGAAGTAAGCTATGAATCTGTGATTTTGCATGAGTACGGCCCCCAACCTATATCCTGATGCATCTATCTCCACCACAAAGATCTGATTGAGATCTGGTAGAGCTAAAACATGTACTGTGATCATGACCTTTTTTAGTCGCTTAAAGGCCTAGGTAGCCGCCTCTCCCTACAAGATTCTATCCTTCTTCAATTTCTCTGTCAAGGGCTAAGCTATGGTATTGTATCCCCTCATGAATCTTCTGTAATAACCAGTCAACCTTTGAAAGCCCCTCAACTCTATCAGATTCCTAGGTAGAGGCCACTTCTGCATCACCTCAATTTTGTTTGATCAGTAGCCACCCCCTCCTGGGATACCACATGCCCTAAGTACTCCACACTAGCCTGTGCGAAGCTGCACTTCTTTAGGTTGTCCCTCAGCTAATGCTCTTGCAGAACTCCTAAAATCACCCTCAAATTCTCCAAATGCTCCTACTCAGACCTGCTATACACTAGTATGTTGTCAAAGAATACTAATACAAACTTCGGGAGGAATGGTCGGAATACCTTGTTCATAAGGGCTAGAAAGTAGTAGGAGCATTGATGAGACCAAATGACATCACTAAGAATTCGTAGTGCCCCTCATGTATCCTGAATGCAATCTTCTGGACTTCCTCCTCTCTCATCCTGATTTGGTGGTAACCCGACTTCAAATCCATCTTGGTAAACACTACTGCTCCATGCAGCTCATCCAGTGGCTCATCAATCACTGGAATGGGGAACTTGTCCGGCACAATCTCCTTATTCAAGACTCAGTAGTCCACACAGAACCTCTAGCTTACATCCTTCTTCTTGACCAGTAAGACTAGGCTAAAAAAAGGACTCACATTTGGCCTGATGATCGCCACCTCCAATATTTCACGGATCAAATTCTCTATCTCGTCCTTCTGAATCTGGGGGTAGCGATACAACCGAACACTAATTGGAGACACCCCCTACCTCAAGGTGATGGCATGTTTCAGCTCCCTCTGTAGTGTTAGGCCCTGGGGTGGTTGAAAAACCCCCTTGAACCTTTGAATGAGTGGTTGTACTGAAAAAGGAATGCCCCCCCTTTCTCCATTATAATCCCTTCTAAGCTCTTCAGTTCTACCAAAATTTCTCCCCCCACCTCTTGTATGGTCCTAACCATAGACTTGAGAGATGCCATGGCCCTGGACAATCCTGCATCTCCTTGGATCACCATCCTTTTTCCCTCCACCACCAACTCTATCGTCAATGCTCATCAGTTGACCTTGATATCTCCCAAGATTTGCAACCACTTCATCCCCAAAATGACATCAGGGCTTCCCAAATCTAATGAAAGAAAATCCTCTCTCACATGGACCCCCCTGGAGATTCAGGGGCTGTTTGGTTGCCTGAATTAGGAGTGTAAAGTAAAATAAATACATGTATTTATTAAATTTGGTTGTTTGATTAATTTTGAGCGGAAGAAAAGAAAATCCTCAAAAGTATTAGGGGTGTATTATAGGACCTGTTTTGCGTGAATTAGAAACACGCTCATTTTGAGCGGGTTTTAAATACGCTCGACGATGCGTCGTTGCTGTTCGGTAGCGAACTTCGGCTTCATTGCTTCGAAGGAGGTGTAAGATTGCATGAGTGGCTTCTTCGGCTCCTTGCTTCTTATTAGACTTCGCTCCTTCGACGCGACGACCCTTTACCTGTCCGATCCGAAGTTGCGATGACGACGGGAGCTCGCAAGTTCGCATCATCTTCCTGTTCGGTTTCATTGCTCGCATTACCTCCCAGTTTCGCCTACATCAGTAGCAGAAACCTCGCTATCCAGAAAGCAGAGAATCATGAAAATCCTAATCTTACCTCCTCCTCTACTGAAGGAATTACCGACGTTGATACTTCCAATAAGGACAAGCCTGGTATGTCTTCACAGATGCTTGAGCAATTCTACTGGGAATGCGAGCACCGCCCAGACTACCGGCACACTCCCGCGGTGGAGCGTATTCTCGCCGATGATCCATTCTTCGAGAAGCCAGAGAACCTGACTCCAGAGAAGATCCAAGAGAACTTGAAGTGGTGGGAGGAGTTCAAAAAGAACCCTGTGGTCAAGTTCCTTAGGCGGGCGGAGGTAATAGCTGATAAGATCAACGAGATGGAGCTCAAGGAAAACGAGCATCCTTACCGGTGGGAAGATCGCAAGCTCTGGAAGGCTTTGCCGCATGTGCCGGGGCCGAATGGCCGGCCAATGCCAAGGAAGTCTATCAAGACGAAGAGGGAATCTGATGACAAGTTCTGGGATTTTGCAAGGCAGTTCTTCTTTGGCTTGTGGGGTTTCAGACAGATTAGTAATGGCATATCTTAAAACTTAAAATTTTTAATTAACTGTTCATTTGTTTATGGTGCAGCTGACATTACACCAAACAGGGAAGAAGAAAGAGGAAAGATTCTGATAGGTGCTATAAATGAAAACTGCAGATGAAATAATTGTCTCATTTGTGGATTATCACATAGTAAAATTTCCTCTATTTTTTGTTGTATATAATTCTAATTATTTATTATACTCAAAAGTATCATCATTAGTGTTGTATTATCTATTTTTGAGATAGGAAGAATTAATACTAAATGCATCAAGATGAGTTTCAAAGCTTTGAATTTCAACTGAGATTATTGCTGTGAAATTTAGGATAATTTTATACTCAGCACAATTCCCTACACATTCCTCTACCATCTCCATCTTTCCAGTGCCCATCATCACCCCATATCCGCTTGTGTCCATCAATTTCACCCCCAATCGGTCTACGACCAGATTGGAGGTAAAATTTTGGGTAGCCCCACTGTCGATTAGCATCACCACCTCCCTGTCTGCTATCTCTCTATTCACTTTCATGGTGTGATTCGGGGTGAACCCCACCACTGAGTTTATTGAGACTTCTGCCATGTCCAGATGTAGCTTCTCGTCTTCCTCTACCACTGCCCCACTCTCACCTCTCTCAATTTCCTCGTCATCACGCCTCCCTCCTCCAATCTTCTCCTTTGGGGCCTCACGTATGACCCCCTTGGGAGTTAAGAAGGTGGTGGTCATCCTGTATGACCCCCTTTAACTGCTGCCTCTAGCCCCCCTCTCTAGATGCTTTTGGTCCTCGACCAACTGTGAAAGTTCCATGGCCTCCCTCAAGTCACGTGTCTCATCACTCTAACAACTGCTGGGATCTCTAGCTTGAGCCCCTTCATGAAGTTCCCCTCAAGCACAGTCTCAGAAAATTGGTCCAGCCTGCTAGTTAGGTACTCAATTCTGTCACGGTACCCTGCCACAGTCCCCTCTTACGTTAGGGCAAAGAACTGCACATAGAAGTCCCCTCCAATTTTTGTTCGGAAACGTTATAGTAAGCAATCCTTGAACTCCCTCCAACTCCGAATGGGTTTCCTCATGTTCCTCTACTGATACCATGCCAATGCTTTCCCTTCCAAACACCGACTAGCTGCCGTCAAGTTCTCCTCCTCCGTCAACGCATTGACAGTGAAGTACCTCTCTATCTTGTAGATACACCCATGTGTGTCATTTCCCTCAAAGATGGGCATCTTCAGCTTCCTTACCCTTGTATTATTTTCGTTTTCCCTGAATCCTCCTTAGCCTCCCATTCCCCGAAAAGGAGGTGCTCCCCGAGTGTCACGATCTTCCCTTCTGCGCTCAAATCTAAATCCTTCTTTCAAAATCCCCCCTCCCCCTTTCAAAATCAACACACCGATGTTCATAATCCTCCCCTCTTCTTGCAAATTCAACACCCATTTGCTCATACCTGATACTCATCTCCTTCCTAGAAATCAGCTTTAGCGGAGGCATCCCATCTCCTCCCTCCAAAATCTCAACATCTTAATTCTCCCCTAAACGGATTAGGATTTCCATCACTTCCTTGGCCGCAGGTGGCTTCCTTCGCTTCAGATGTCGCCGTATTCGGTTTGGCTTCAAGCAACTTCTTTAGCATGTCTTCTACAACGACCAACTTTCCATCTATTTTTTCATGGATAGATGCAAATTGGTTTTTAAATCTGAAAATTTTTCCTCAAAATAAGATTTTAGTTGACCTAATTCTCCCTCCAAAACTTCCACTTTCATTCCGGGCATTGGTACCCTTAGTTCGACGTGCTCTGACACCAATTTGTTATGACACAGGTGCAGAAATTTAAATTCCAGCAAGCACATATCAGATTTGTAGGAGAACACCTTGATGGCAACCACAAGAAAAGCTTTGAAATTGCTGAAATAATCATGAAAGAGGACAATATTCAATGGATCTTCAATTCGAGAGGAAGATCCTTCTCTCCAACTTTCTAGTTGAAGACTAGAGCCCACACAAACCTAGGTGAAACACAAATTCTGCATAAAATATCACATAACCTAACCGTAGAGCGAAAAGAACTACTTAAAGCAAAAACACCAATACAATTTTTTAAACAGCCATTGATTTTGAATTTTACTCCACAAAGCTTTCATTAATTAAATTCCGAATCCCCTCTTAACCCTACTGGCCCCACCGGGCTGTCCGCCCCTTTGTTGGGCGGCAGGTTTATTCTGCCCGGAATAAGCCTGAATCGGTCCAGGTTGGATCGGTTCAACATGAGCCAGTCTAACAATTTCACAAAAGATCTTGCTGTCCTAGAAGAACAAGTCTGATGCCTGAAACCCTTGTTTGGACAGCTCTCCCGTTTTTACCCCCTCCCCATCTTCTTGCTTTCCTTATAGTTTGAGTGATCTTGTATGGATTTATGTTAATTTCTCTAAATGTCATTAACTCTTAATGATTTATCATCTTGTCAGATATTTTGAATCGTGATTTTATCTTATTATCTCTGATTTCTATTGGCTTTGTTTTGTCCTCTCAGTCGGTTCATGAATCAGTACTTTTTGTTGATTGCATGCCTACAACTATGGCCACTTATAACTCCCGTGAATCCTGCAAGTACATGGGGTCCGCTTATCTTTATATTTGCTGTCTCTGCGACGAAAGAAGCCTGGGATGACTACAATAGGTATCTTTCTGACAAGAAAGCCAATGAGAGGAAAGTGTGGGTTGTAAAGGAGGGCACACGAAAGCAGGTATGACTTCTTTCAATCTTTAAGACAAGGCGATGTAATATATGCTGATTTTGACTAGAATGAATGCCATTATGTAGATGCTAATATGTTTTAAGGTGAGCTTGTGAATGCTGATTAATTTTTTTTTCATTTATAATAATGTTTGGACGTTTAATTCTTTGAGGTACGATTTATTTTTTATTATTCTTTTGGAAAAATTTGGAATAATGATGCATTTTATATTTTCATTCAACTTATTGTTATATTTTTATATCTTAAACTAATAAATATTACCGATGATTTTTTTTATTAGGATTTATTATACCAATTGAGTATTTAAGGAATGTTAGTTTTTGTAGTGGAAAAAAGTACCTCAATGGTAGCTGCATATTGTGGAAATGAAGTTACTAAGTAGTAGGTTTGGGAAAGACTGGATAACATTAAACTAAAGGTTAGCCATTAGTATAGTGGTTGAGGAAAACAAGTTTGATGTTCATCATCTTTTGCCATATTCCAACTATTTTGAGCTGTTTTTATATTCTTCATGCTTTTCTGATGAGTGTTTGTTTATCGAGATGTTAACCCCATTTTTTGTGAAATTTTTTACACAATTTTTAACTATATAAACTTTAATCTTTCCCTTCTCCTTCTTAATCCAACTACATGAACAATATGTATATCTTTTATAGTGCATCTTCTACCTTCCTTTGACTATCTATGCTCAAATGAGTTATTTCTATTTTTTGTTGTCTTATCTTTAATATGTGCTACTCTCATAATTTTTCTAACATAAGAATTTCTTGATTCATCTCTCTTAGTTTTCACTACTCATAAATTTGAATATTCTCATTTTTTCACAATTAAGTTCACGACTTATTTTATGGCCTAACACTTGAATTGGCCTAATTATAATTTCATAATATTTTCCTTTAAATCTTCATATTCTTCTATTACCTTATCATACTTTTATGGCAATTCTTCATTTTAGCCTCTTGTCTAAATTCTAAAAGTTCACTTTTTTTTTGTCCCCTCCCTTCTTTAATAATATTTTCTTTTAACCAGTAACTTCACCCAACTACTAAATCTTGTATGTTATATGCTTATTCTTTGTTCAACTATTCATAAGTTTAATATATTTTCAATAGTTTTCTACTTATTCTAATATTTCATTTATTTTAACTGAAGTTTTGCTGACGAATTATCTCGTATGAAATTGGTGTATCCTCAAATATTCCACTTCTAAGGCCTCTTTTTAGAATCATTGTAACCATAACATAAGGTAGAGAGTCAATACTGATTTTTACTATAATCTTATAATGATTGGAAACTCATTGACCACTTTATACTTTTTAAATTTCTCTATGCTTACACTTAAATGTCTTTAATATCTTTAATATACGCAATTTTCACTTACGAGCTAATGCATTCTTTTTATATCAACATATCCTTTTCAAGTAAAAAATTCATGTGGTATTTTTTTCGGTCTTTGTACCTTATATTCATTTCCCATCACAGAAATGACTTTCATATTTGAATCTTTCTAGCATAGAATCAACTTGAGTATGAAATGCCAATGTGATTTTTCAAAGCCACCTCTCCTATAATCATAAAAATCGTGAACCTCACTCAAATTAATTGAAAAAAAATAAAAAGAAATAAAAAGAGAAATCATGAACCTTTTTTCAATTCTTAAATATTGATTATTGGCCCTAAAATGTCTTTTTCTCAATCATGTTGGCCTCCTCTTAGTTTTTAATATCTTATTGAAATGTTTTGTTAACTTAATTATTTTATTATGTTTCTAAGCACTTATATATATATCTTTAATGCATTTTTTAGGGCTAATTCAGATTGATATTTAAGATTTATTCTTTAACGCTCTTATTTATCAATTTATAAAAAAATTATTTTCATTGAACTTTATTATTATTAATTCTTATTTAGATCCTATTATATTTGCTTAATTTTGAGGAGGGGGGGTGGTGGTAGTCTTTGAGTATGCCCAAAATTGCCCCTGGTCGATTTATGTGGGGACTGGGGACATTTTAGACTTAGAGTTTGTAAAAGGTCAAAATTACTCTATCGACTTTGAATTTAGGAGCCAAAAATTGTCATAGCAATTAAAATCAAGTTTTTTTTTTCATCGCATGATCACAACAACTTCAAATGAGTGGATGAGCTAGAGATTAAGGGAAATTTAGGGAATTCACGTGTTTTGTAATTCTTTAATCCTTATGTAATCTCTAATTTATTTACCGTCGCCATAGGTGAAAGGAAAAAATTGAGAAGTGTTGACGAATTGAAAATAAAAAAATCGAAGAGATGTATCTATTCACAGAATTTCTTACGATGCAGCCTACAATCCGACCCCACTTCAAATGATTTATACCAAACGAGAAAATGCTTTGTTTCAATAACTGTTGTTTAGCGATCTTCTCAATAAAAAGGGCAGAGGAGAAAGTGACGGACTTACACTCAATTTATTTGAAAATCCCGCTCTCTACCTCCTCCCCCATAAAGCCCACAGCTGTTCGCTCCTTCTGTTCACGAATACCAACACCTCCGTTCGAAACCCAATTGGTTTCACGTTTAACCTGCACACCCCATGCGATCGGCCTACCACCGCTTGAACACGCCTGACTTCCCTCTTTGCGCGCTCTGCTTTATGAGCCCGATCTCATAGCCGCTCCGAGCCCTTCGTGTTCTTCCACACTTCCACCAAACCTGATTGCGAACCAACCCCTGTTCGCAAACCTTCCACATGCTCTTGTTTGATCCCATTCAGCAACGCCCACGCCTCCCTCCACGTCGCCTGCACACGCTCGAGCTAGAACTTTTACCCGTTTGACCTCCTCACTCCCCGTCTACAGGCCATCCACACCGATCGTCAGCCACATGCCAGGTATCTCTCACTTCCTCCTTCCTTGTACCCGTCTCTTCCATTCGCAAGTAAATCCCGCATCCGAATCTAGCCGGCCACCTAACCTCTCAACTAGACACCCAGTCCGCCTCAATTCAACACCTAAACCTGCCTTCTCTCACTGAATGCCCCTCGCGTGGACTTCACCATTAGAATCCACACGCAGCTTGCCTCCTATCTGTGGGTAGTTCTTGCTTCTGCCTACATCCTTCTGCATTCGATCCTTATATAGGTCGAATCCTAGCTCGTGGCTTGTCAGTTCTGAATACATATAGAATCGCTCTAGATAATAATATTTAATTCAAGTAATTAAATAATTGCTATGTAATTAAATAAATTATTTTTTGAAATTATAAAGCAACATGTATTTGTCAAAGACTTAAGCCATTGATTTTAGATATGATTATGGGAAGATTTCAAATTCAAGACCAGACGCCGTCGACCTTAGATCCATCCGAGATGGTTTCAAATTCAAGACCTCGCGTTGTCGACCTTAGGTCCGGACGGGATGGTTTCAAAATCAAGACCTCGCGCCATCGATATTATGTCCGATCGAGATGGTTTCAAACTCATGGCCTCACGCCCTCAACTTTATATCCGTTTGGGAAGAAATCAATGGCGAGTGCCGTCCTGACCTCCCCCGGGCGGAGGGGACGTCGTGAGGTTGTCGAAATCGCCTTAAAAATTATCTAATTGGAGAGCAATTAAATTTGAATAATTGATTAATTCAATTAACCAACTCATTAAATTTAATTAAAATTAATTAATTGAAATAAAATTAATTAATTTATATTAATCAATTAATGGAAATTAATTGATTAATTAAAATTAATTAATTAATTGAAATTTTTTAACTGAAATTAATTCCATTAGTTAATTAGAATTAATTAATTAAAACTAAATTGATTGATTGAAATTAATTAATTAAAGTTAATTAATTAATCAAAATTAATGGATTAGTTGAAATTAATTAATTGAAATTATTTGCTTAATTGAAGTTAATTAATTTAATTTAATTAATCAGTTAAAATTAATTAAAAATTGTTAGTTGGTTAATTTAAAAATCGAGAGCGTTTAAAATCCGAGAGCGATAAAATTGATTAATTAAGTAAATTTTTTAAATCAATTAATGTGGAGAGAGCCACTCTGGTTAAAATTATATTTTAATCAGAAATATGAAAGCAAGAAAAATAGTATCCCCACTAATCAACCTAAGGTACAAGTTATAATGAAACCACACTCCTAAAATTAAGACTCAAACAAAAGAAAACCTCTACATGCTCTTAGGCAAGCTCTGAAACAAAAGGAACTCATGTAGGTACAAAACTCCAAGCATCTACAAGTAAACTAATAAAATTGATTAATACCAAAATAACTGCTAAAGCAAAAGAATATGGTATTGGAAAGTAAACTACAATACTGAAAGAAAAAGAACAGGGTACTGAAATAAAAATAGAGTATTGGTGCAAGAAAGAAAAGCAATGCACTGAAAACTAAACTACTACTGAAAAGAAAAGAACTACAACACTAAAAGAAAATAACAGTGCTGTAGCGAAAACACTAGTGTCAGGCTAGTAAACAACTTAAAGCTAAGGTTTAGTGTCGAGCTAGCAAACAACTGCAAGTACCTACAGGGTACAATCCAATCTGCCATAAAAAAGCCCAACAGACTATTTCCAAAGGGAAACAATAAGTCCTACAAATTACATGCAACTTCTAAGGAAGTTATAAGATATGTCAACCAAATTAAAATGAATATGCAGCGTAGCCTACTTCTAAAGGGAAGCAATAAGACCCGTTCTAAAACAAATTATGGGTAGCTTCTAAGTGAAGTTGTAAAACCCACATGTTGGAGAGATTGCTAAATAAGGTGCAACAATTCTAAAACCCAAACAATCAAAATGAGCGAACAATTTTGTCTAAAGGACTAGGTTGTAATACCTACCTTCAGGCATCTTCCAAAAGTTATAAGACTTGTTATTTGAGAGAAAAACTCCTTAAGAGAAATATTAAAGTCTCAAATTAAATCAAAACGAACGGGTAGCTTTGCTGTAGAGCTAGGATGTAAGACCCATCTATTGGCAGCTTCTGAGGGAGTCGTAAGGCCTATCCAAACAAATAAATTTACGAGCATCTTAGCATATAGGGCTAGGTTATAAGACCCGCTTACGAACTACTTTCAATGAAAGACGTAAGTCCCAACTCAAATTCAAACGCATGAGCTACCTCTAGGAAAAGCCATAATACCCGCTTCTACTTCTGGGTAACTTCTAAATGAAGTTATAAATCTCAAAACAAACTAATTTATGGGTATTCTAATAGGTGTAAAACCCAAAACCTCTATAAAACTAAAATTTATATTTAACCACCTCAATTTACTCGGGATCCTTTAGTGGAGGCAATCCATGGCTACTAATTAGATTCCCTGGATACTACGATCAGCGATCGCCAGTATTAGTAGACTGAAACCTAAGGTATGCCTGAGACGACGAAACCATGAGATCTTGATCGGGTTTACCTTTATTTCCCCCACAACTGAGACTAAAATACCTAAAATTACTCATCCTTAATCGATAGTTTTATCTACGTGTTAAGAGAGGTAATTAACTATGAGTGCTTATTTTCAGAAGAAGGACAAATCTAATTAAACCCTGACATTACCCTCAGGGGAAATCTGGTTAACTACAATATGACATAAGGGGAATGGAATCCTATGTCTGTGAAGCGGGATTCATGCTTTTTTTTTTTTTGAGCCAACAAGAAGCTTATCTAAGTCAACATAACATGGTGTAAGTGTGTAACTTGAGTAGCTTACCCTTAATATCTCGATTGCATTGCAAAGATGAGGAGCGAATAGTGGCATAAGAGCAATGAATGTTGGGATCATGTTGGCTCTTATTTTTAAGGAGCCGAGGGATTAAATTGGACCTTATTTTTAACACCATGTAATTTCAACTAGAAAATTTATATTCCTAGTATGCCCTCATTTTTAACCTCATGTTTGAACTTCATCTAGAATTCTATCTGTTTTAACTATGGGGACTATTTTGACTTCTATTTTAGATGCCAAGGGACTACATTAGTCCTTTTGCATACTCTTAGACTAAAATGCCCATCATCAATAATCTAAGTACTAGTTTGTTTCTCTCTCTCTCTATATATATATATAGAGAGAGAGAGAGAGAGAGAGAGAGTAATGCTAATAATATTGAGTCTTTCGAAAATGCTAAAACTCTTATGGAAATTTTTGTAATGTACATGCCTATTCTAATTTTCTATCTTGATTGGTTCAATTATAAAATTTCAAATTGCCTCTCTTGACAAACTTTCTCTAAAAATTATTCTCTCACCTTTCGGGTTCCATTATTTTTTCAAGGGATTTTTTTATTGTCCTCTTTACGTGAAGAATATAGATTCATAACTATACTCTTTATTATGTGGTTAAACTTTCTATTAGAATCTCCATTTGAGAGCAAACTTACTGCTTAGCATATCTTAAAATAAGCGTTCACTATCTCAAGTTTATATGCCGTACCCATCCATTTCTCTTTGGCAGTTTATACTCACTCTGAATCCTTTTTTTATCACACCCATTGTAACATAGTTTTCATTTTAATTACTGTGGGTTACATCAAAACAAACCTTTGTTTTTTTTTTCTAACTGTTCAAGTTTTGTGTGCCATTTATTGGTGAAATTCTTGAAGGTAAGATGTATGTTGAAGTTAGTGGTAATTATTTTTAGAAACCGATGCTTACTAGTTCTAGAATTCCTAAATTGTTGAAGTATAGCTAAATCAGCAACACAACAAGACATTTAAATGGACTCCAAGGGCATTAAAAGTAATTGCGAATGATATTATGAAAAATCAGTTTCTTTATTCACTTATGAAGCAGAAAGCTATTTTGAGATGTACCACTTCTAACGTTTGTTTCTTAAAGCATCAAAGCTTGCAGCGGGCCTGCATTTATATTACAGGATAATCGAAATCTTAAACTACATCCTCTTACTAAACTAGCAGGATAAGATACGTATTTCCACAAGCATCATGCATGCTGGAGGTTTGACATTGAGTTGTTACTTCTCTGATCCTGAATAATCTAAATATGAAATTACATTGAACAGAAGCTTAAAATCCACAATATCCACGGAGCAAATATTCCAGTAGATATGATAACAGGATCTATAACTGATAAGTCAAGTAGTTCTAGAATTTTTGTGAATCAGTCCATTTATAATATATGACAATACCTTTATCTACGGAAACAAACCGAGTTTGTGAACTATTTTTTTGATGTAGAAATTTTGAAGGGAGTCAATTGAATTTGACATAAATTATGCATGCCTTGTTAATTTTGAGATAAGCTGCTTGTTAATTATACATGTAAAGGCTCTTATATGTGATGTGACAGGCATGGAGAAATTTCAATCAGATGGTTTTTGTTATTCAATAGGATGCAAAATAATGAAAATATGTACTGTTGTTTGTTTAATTACTTATAGCTGAGCTGGAATGCCACTTATTTTTTTAGAACACAATTATCTTCTTTTGTTGCTGATTTGTTTCAGATTGAAGCACAAGACATTCATGTTGGTAATATTGTTTGGTTGCGGGAAAATGATGAAATACCTTGTGATCTTGTTCTAACAGGGACTTCTGATCCTCAAGGCATATGCTTTGTTGAGGTAACCATTGAGGCTCATATTCTTTTCTTTCATTGGTTTAATTATGTTTCTTTATTGTTCTTACCTAGTAGGCTAGCGTTGTGTTTTGGGCGTGCATTCTGCTATCTGGCACTCTTTGGGATCCAGCATCCCTTATGTTCCAATGCGGGTAGCAGAAACGTTTAAAGATAAATCTTCAGTTGTGTGTAGGCTTGTGGAAGGGCTTTGACATGGCAACTAAAATAGAACGTTCATGTAATCATAATTGATGGTTCAAACTTTAGAATGGAGATTAAGAAGATAAAAGACTTTCTTCCTTTCCTGGTCTTCATTAATGATCATCTTTCTTTGCTTTGATATTTTTGAAATATTTAACACCTCTTAGATTCAAAGGGGCTTCGGTGACCAATTTATCCTAATGGATTTAAAGAAGATTTGAATGAGAGGCTCGCATCGAAACTTGATTGTTATGATTCATTTGGACAAATTTGATGAGGCTTGGTTATTGTTATGAATAATTTTTTTGTGTGATATGTTTATACAAAAATATCAATATTCAATTTTTTTGAATTTTGAATCGTGCAATAGAATAGTCCCATTATGTGACTTTTCATGTTTAAGCGGGCTCAATATATAGGCTTTCTTAATAAATTGCAATGTGACAAAACCATACCATGTGTGAATATTGTTGGAGGGCCAAGAGACTTTTCTCAGCAAGTATTAGCAAATTAAATGCGTACGCCATATTGCCATGTCATCTTTAATAATCAAACTGATGCGGACATCCAATGGTGAACACTTATCCGAGGAAGAGACGGACATCCAATGGTGAACACTTATCTGAGGAAGAGACGAAGATCAACGGCCGAGATCATCCCACTTTATCTTAATTTACTAATTGTATATTTTTTTTTAATTTATGCATTTTTCGTTTTTACCCTCTCTTGAGGGAGTTGTCCTTTGTAAGCCCTAGGGGTATGTTTGTCTTTTTTGAGTTTTTTTTTTTTTTTTCATTTAAAGGCCTATATATAGAGGCCCTTGCTATTGTATTGTCATGATAGATTATTAATAAAAAAAAAAATTCTACACTCTTGTTCTTTGGGAAGAACTTTGGCGAGATCCCTATGTGAGGGAAGCATAGTATCCACCAGCCGTAGGATGGTCCGGGCTCGTGGTTTGAAGTCCCTAGGTGAGGGCAGATAAGAATCCCTATCTTAGGAAAGTTACTTAAATTAGATCAAATTAAATTTCTAGTTGGATTTGATTTAAATTAATTTTTCTAATTAGGAAATCTTTTTTAGGAAACTCCCAAAATCTCTCAAATCTGAAATCAAAATCAGATTTAATTCCTTAATAACATTTATTGTTTGGGTCCACATTCATTGTATGTGGACACTTCTCCTCCCTCCCCATATGGCCGGCCCCCCTTATTCTCTTCCATTCTCTATTTTAATTAATTCCTTCACAAAATTGGAACTCCATTTAAGGGATTAATTAAGTAACCCCTTCCCTCTCTTTTTCAATTAATTTGAAATGTTAAATTCACATGACCCCTCCCCTTCCGATCTACATCACAAACTATGACAACGATGCCTGAATAAAAGTATTGCAAGATGGTTGCTTATCTTGTCAATAGTTGTTCTCTTTCTCTCTCTCTCTCTCATAGGGAGAGAGTTCCTTACACTAGTAATGTCATCCATTAGTCTCTTTAGTCTATCCAAAATATGATCCCAAAATTATGCCTTTGATCTCAGTCTTGTCTAAAAAATAGTTCATTTATTGGGATTATTTAGATCCATATTATATCGAGGATTAAATTAACACATTAGATAATGGACTATAATGGCCTCATAGAAATAGTCAATGATGATTCTTGACCTCCGCTTGTCATCTCTTTATGTATTTTTATTATTATATAAAAATATATTAGAAAGTTGATTCCTGCAAAATGAATGCCTTTGCTGTTGTATTACAGTTTCTGGCAGAATATGTTGTTGAAAAGAATGTGAGATTTAAACATGTACACTAAACAATCCTTGCATCTGTCTATTTATCAGGCGTGGTTCTTTCTGTAGTTTGATTTAACCTTACTGGCCCTTTGTGTGAAGGAGAGTCTAGCAATATATTGTACAATAATTGTTATGCCTATGCACTTATCGATACAGAATATGTTTCAACGTTAATATCAGGAGGTAAATCTACTGATAGATTGATTGACAAACTATAATTTCTTTTAATGATGCTACTTAGACTTAATACGTGGGAAAATGATTTTCCTTACCCCAGACTCTTGCACTAGATGGTGAAAACTGATTTAAAGCTAAGTTATTCCCTCAGCCTTGTATTGGGCTAGCTTTCTAAACAGCTGCTGTAAAATTAAGTGGTAGTTTTTCTTTGTGATTGACAGCAGTATAATCTTTGTATCTTATTCTTTTCGTATTTTATTTATGTGTATTATTATTTATTATTTTTTGTGAGCAGGTGTGTTACTAGAGTGTCAAATCTCTGTAATACTATAGAAATTATCAAATAGCGCTTATCTCCACCCCATTCCTTATCAATATATATGCCCTTACCAATCATACACCTCTACCTCAGTCCTTGTTACTGGAGAACAACAGAATGGCGCTTGTGAGTCCATTACCACAGTATTCTTTATGTTATTAACTATGTTATAATATTTTAATCCATAGTGTATAATCCAATCAATAACACTTCATTCTTCTCCTACATTTTTTCTCCTATATTTATTTAAATTCATCTACTACTCATTTTATTGTTGCATTTGTTGCCTCCATTGGTAATACTCATCACCAAAGTCAGCTGGCTGCAAATTTAGTATTTTATACGACGTTTTATAGCATACGTCTTTTAGAAAGGTATTTATAGTGAATGTAGTGCTTTGTTTTGTTTCTAAATACAAATATATAGCATATGTTTATTGCTTTAAGTTTTTTTTCCTATCTTCTTCTATTCGTCTTGCATGGTTTAGCTTTTGATTCGTTCTTCGTTGCATATTTGCTAGCAAATGATAGTAACTAATGGATTCTTTTGGGTTTATATCTGACGCAGAATACATGCATTATCTCTTATATTGCTTTAATAAACATTATATTTGACAAATTTATATATGACTTTGTTTATTTTTTTCCCCTTAGGAAATGAACAAGCTGGGCATGAGTAAGGCATAGCGAGCGCCAAAACTCACTGCCTGTTCAAGGACTGCAATAAACGACTTGAATAAATTACTGTGCTATACGTATTTTGTTCAAGTAGTAGTGGTTGTCTATTCGCTGGCATATTTGAAGGACACAGAGCTCGAAAGGGATTTCTTAGTGCTTCTTATTGTATGATTTAAATTATCATGACCTGGAATCTTCTAGCTTTTTTACTATTATACATATTTGCAGTCGTTTAAAATAATTGTTGTATCACTCTTGAATTCTTAATTCGCTGAAATTATGTTGCAAGAAAAATTCTAATAATATCATAATTGTCTTAATTGTTTATTTTGCACTGTGCATGGTTCAATTTATTTGTAACATGTTTATAGAAGACTTCGGATAGTATTTATCCTAACTATTGGCTTACTAAGATTGTTTACCAGTATTAAAAACACACGTTTGCTCATAAGATCACTATACTCTGCTCACATTTGTCTCATATCTGGAGGTAAGCTAATAGCTTGCTGAAGTGCTTGGTCCTACTGATTGCAATTAATCTGTTCCCCCAATTTCTTTGCCTATCAAAATTTGTTGAAAAGCAGCCTTTGCCTTCCATTATATTTCCTACCTGAAATCTGCTATTCTTATTTCTCTTCACATAAACAGCTAACTTAAAAATGGAAAATTGTCACTTAAAAAAACTTATGTTGATCAAAGTGATGTGATCTTTATGAACAAAATAAATATTTCAAGTTTTTTAAATGTGGTTTCATTTGTTTTAGATTGTTTCCGAACAATTAGGGAATTTTTTTATCTTGAATGGGCATTGGATGCATCCATACTTTTTTTTTTTTTTTCCGAACAATTAGAATTTGTTTAGTTGTTTCCCAGAACAGAATTTACTTATTTGGGTGCAAACATATTCAACCCAGGTTGACAATGGTTTGGCTGCTATTCGGAGAAACAAGAGATGTTGTTTATTAAAAACTTTAATGCAATACTTGCATAACAAAGTTCCTTAGAATAGCGTGTTTAACTTTGGTTACTCTTTATTCTGGAGTTGGTGGTTTTTGTTACTTAATGGCGTCGATTATTCTGGTTTAGCTTGAAAAAAATATTTGTTCATTTGATGTAGAGGGGAAATCCTTTACTACAAAGATTTCTGTGAATTTAGTGTTTGTAAATACTTTTAGTTTTGCAATTCAGTAACCTTCATAATTTTTTTTCAATGAAGCTCTCTCATCTAAGTCGATCATGCGATTAAGGAATTCTAGGATGGCAAAAACTGGAATGTTAGTAATTCCATGTTTGATAGTTTGAGTTTTTTAAAATTGTTGTCCTTATTGGTTACTGTTCTTTTACTGTATTCAGAACTTTTTTTCCGATGAAAATTGTTTCCTCATGTAGCAATTTTGGTATGTTATTTGTATCGAGTGAAGGAACCATGGTTACGAACTTTTGATAAATCCCTCTCGATTGAACTTTTATGTTCAATCATGATTCCTATATCCAATTAAGGTACATGGAAAGGCAACTTTCTTCCCATTCTTGTAACTCTCTTTCCACCTTGATATCTAATTAATCTTGTTGATTCATTTTTTAGTAAAAATTTCTGTGTGTTGCCATAATGTCAACATGATGATTAGTGGGACCACTGGAATACCTTTTTTCTTTTAAATAATCATTTCCTAATTACATTCGATGAAGTTTATTTAATTTGAAAATTTAGTAGAGGACTTGTAATGCTTACAAGCTAACGAGTCCCAAAAATTTTCAGTCTTAAAGCTTAATAATTTGCAGAAGTAGAACTTGATTAATTGGTTGATAATAAAAGTGAGATTAAACTGAGTTTATATTATATATATATATATATATATTATCTCAAGGCATTTTGAGCTGATGTTCATCTCCTTTAGAATTGCAATGAACCTCAGTGGAAACTTCATGTTACGCGATGAAGTTGTCTCAAATTTTTATCCTGAACCAGTTTAGGTGATACAAAATACTCATTCCGTGAATATGTTGGATGGGCTTGTCAGCGTCAAAAAGTTGAGTTACCACTTAAACTCGTGTCCATGATTATTAGATGTCTGTTGTTCAAAATTTAGGGCACACTTTGTAAGCTTTGTTGACATTTTTTGTAGGTTTTTTTGG